ATCGGTAACCCACTTCGTTTCCAGTTGCGTATTGCTTGAGTCACAACAGTACACACTCTAAAGGTCTCTGAGTCTGTGAGGCACTCTAAGGTCTCTGAGTCACAACATTTTTGCTCTAAGGTCTCTGAGTCAAACCATAATATAAATGTCAGCTTAGTTCTGGTCAGAATATAGAAACAGTTTGTGCGCGTCGAGAAAACACAATTGTTAAAGTTATAATGGGTCTTGCACCTTTGGCACTCACAACACTAAAGCAAGCAATATACGCCTCCGCTCGTCTCGCATCATGCAACAATTCTTAACCACAACAATAGTTCACTCTGGTCATTTATCAAATATCTGGGAGAGACAGACCCCGTTACCATACAAGTTCTAGATGCAGTGGCCAGAATAGTTGCCAGATACTCCGGTATACCAGAGTTCTTATTGCAGCGCCATCCTGCCAGTTGAATTGCCAGTTATAATCCGAAGCTTATTAATGGCTATGGCTATATTACACCAGTATAAGAAGGTTGAAGAGGTATAACATCCCAAGAATTGGGGTATATAATTATAAGAGAAAACTCTGTTGTGATGACTTGTGATACAGAAATGTTTTTAACAGGCAGAGGGTTGTATTTCCTTACCTGATGATAGCGATATGGTGGGGTATGACCAAAATACAGGCGGTAAGATGAATCAGCAGACGAGAACAACAATATTTACTCTGCGAGAAAGAGATGAGAGGGGTGGGAAGAAAAACTGACATAGACGTCATCTTTCCTAAGTTAGCTCCAACCTCCACTAATAATGTACCGTTATTGTCCTGAGCCGTTTGAAGATCTCCTCTCAGTATTTCTTCTCTAACTCCTAATTATATAGAACTTTAATTTGTTCCTTCGTCATTTCTATTGAGATACTATTGTCCATATATTATCGAAATTAACTAATGTGTCACCGTAAAATTATAATATGAATCAACGCCATCTGTAGACTGAAATTACTCAAAATAAAATTGTTTCAAATACACTCGACTAATATTACACTTGCCATTTTGTCGACTACATCCTCCAGTTGTCTGCCCGTATCTCTCACGCTGGCCTCCAGTCACCTGGAGTCACCAGCCAAGCTCAGGCCAACCGTCTTAAAAACAAATTCATTCAAATAGACATACCTGTGTCATTTTTAGAATTCAAGCCACCCAACCACTATTGTTGCCAAGCAGATTTGTGGTATCCCAACGCTTTGAGGTCTGCCGTCACCACCGAGCTGGCAGCCAATCAGCGTTAGTGTCAGCGTGTTCCACCTGGTCGACAGCCAATCACCATTGACGATCCAGTTTGTTATTGTTTGGTCAGCTGGTGCCGTTCTATCGAAAATGCGCAAATTTTCAGTTTCAGCTGCAGCAACGCTTGTTATATAAGATTTCATGAACAGAAACAAACCCTTGGAAAATACTGAACCAATATGATACCAACGCAGATCTGTTGTGAGACTTTGTACGTGAGGTTATGCAAGTGTGCATGAGGGTTAAGCAAGTGTACGAAAAAGGCATCATGTGTGTGTCTGCCTGTATGTGCGTCTGTTGAAAAAAAAGAAGGACAATAAGTTTAAAAGCAGATGATTGTTCAATGTGTTTTAAACAGAACAAAATACAAGAAGCTGACAATTACATAACCATATTAGTCCCATTCAAAAAAATAATGAACAAAAAGATATTAACAAACAATGTACACTATATATGAGTAAAACTAAAACATATACAGCATATCGTTAATTTCCACAGTGTCTTATTAAAAATTCCTCCATTGTAGACACACAAGAAAGTCACAGTAACCTCCTTACAGACGTTGGTTCCTTTCTTGCAACCGATAAGCAGTCCCCATTGTGTCTTGTGTAGAGGCCTACATAACCGACAGTCACAGAACTAAACAATACAGCTGTCAAAGATGTCCTTTGGGGCATTGTCTTTGTTTCTGACACTCACCGAGGAGCTCTTGTGTTACCCCACACTTCACCCGAACCTCCACTGACGCCCTCCCTCCATCTGTCTCAGTGTTCAAAACTTGATTATTAAAACATCACACCACCACCCAACTATTGTACCATTAATCATAAATATAGCAACGAAATAAGACCTGTAGTTAAGACTTATTTTCAGTTGAACCTTGAGTCAGTGTCGTGCCAAGTGATCTCAATTGTCATCCTCCATCACTTTATCACACCAGTATGAACAACTTTTCACCTGACTATTCCTTTACCTTGCGTCTTTGTCAGGTTAGGTTAGAAGAAGGTTATAGGCCGGTTAGGTTGAGTTGGGTTAGGTTGAGTTGGAAGAAGTTGACAACAAGGTTCGACTGGTCTTGCGATGACAGACAGAAGCAAATCACAGGAACACAAATAAATTAGAAAACAACAATACAACATCAATGATAACTTGGGATGTGACTTTCCTCCAGCCAAGCAAATAAACACCGCAAACACCGTGAACTCTCGGTGTAATCTGTCCCAGAGTAAGTTTCCTCATTAAAGTTATATAATCCATAATTTTACTATTTTCTAGTTAATCGTCCCTTTTCCGGTTAATCATTCCTACTTCCCAAATGTAATTTCACTTCCCACTATTTCTCTCCCATAGGTTGAACGTCTACTACACTCTGCTTAAGTCTCTGGTTTACTCTCTGGGCACTGTCTCTGGTTTACTCTCTGGGCTGAAGTCTCTGGTTTACTCTCTGGCTGGTCTCTGGTTTTCTCTGGGCTGAAGTCTCTGGTTTTCTCTGTTTCGTCTGGTGTTTCTGAAGTCTCTGGTTTACTCTCTGGGTGTCTCTGGTTTACTCTCTGGCAGAAGTCTCTGGTTTTCTCTCTGGGCTGAAGTCTCTGGTTTCTCTGGGCAAAGTCTCTGGTTTTTACTCTCTGGGCTGAGAAGTCTCTGGTTTGCTCTCTGGGCTGAAGTCTCTGGTTTACTCTCTGGGTTGAAGTCTCTGGTTTTACTCTCTGGAGCTGAAGTCTCTGGTTTACTCTCTGGGCTGAAGTCTCTGGTTTACTCTTTCTGGGTGGCTGAAGTCTCTGGTTTACTCTCTGGGCTGTTCTGGTTTACTCTCTGGGCTGAAGTCTCTGGTTTACTCTCTGGGCTGAAGTCTCTGGTTTACTCTCTGGGCTGAAGTCTCTGGTTTCTCTCTGGGCTGGGTTACTGATAATGATGTTAGAGTTGCTGCCTTGTCTGATGTTAACTTATGAGTAATGCATCAATATCGACACAAATTGAATTATTCCTTTTTGGGGGAAAAAGCAGCCTCACCTGTTGCCTGAGTGCCAAGGTAACCCCCGGGACCTAGATGTGTGTGTGTGTGTTTTAGTGTGTTATCATCACCATTAAATACTCCTCTACTTAAAAAATAAATGACATTCATGAAGTTGACCAGAAACACAACAACAACAAAACACAAGACAACAACACAAACAAGACCTAGTTCACGTGATCATTCTCCTCACCTCAACAGCCACCAGTGACCTGCAAGTTAAACAATCAATATTACGATCTCAGCTTGGCTCTATGATTGGCTGAAAGCTTCTCCAACAAAACCCCTGATTGGCTATAGACTTTCCGCCTGAACAACAAAAAAGGTGGCGTATTAAGTTGGTCTGGAGTTTGACAATGGTGTTAGGAGGGTGAGGGGCCTCCGGCTATCTCGTTATGGTGTTTGGTAAGTTACACATTCTATAGCATAATATATAACTACAGTTTAGAATATAAGTTTAATATAATTTTCACCATTATTATCTATATCACACTATCTCCTCTTATCCTCACTATTAATCATTTACTACCAGCATTACAATCCATATATGCTATTATCACCATTAGCATCATCACTATCACCAATACAATCACTGCCATCATCACCACTACCATCGATATTATCACCATCAGTATCACTACTAACCAACGATCCCGTCTCCACCTACACCACCATCATCAATAATACCAAACACCATAAACATCACCATTAAAACCACTATTGTCATCACCATCATTACCATCATCACTTAGTACGACGATAATCATCATCATCACGACCACCATTCATCATCATCACCATCACCACCTACACTACACCATTATCATCATTATACCACCTACTCCACCATTATCATTCATCACATCACACTACACCTCCACCATTATCATCATCACCATCACCACACTACCACCATTATCATCATCCACTATCACCACCTCCACTACCACCATTATCATCATCACTATCACCACCACACACCACCATTATCATCATCACTATCACCACCTACACCAACATTATCATCATCACTATCACCACACTACCACCATTATCATCATCACCATCACCCCACACTACCACCATTATCATCATCTACCACCTACACTACCACCATTATCATCATCACTATCACCTACACCACCATTATCATCATCACTATCACCACCTACACTACCACCATTATCATCATCTTATCTTACCACCTACATTACCATTACCATCCATCACTTATCTTACCTACACTGCCCCATTATCATCATCCCACTATCACCCACCTCACTACACCATTATCATCATCACTTATCGCCACCTACACTACCACCATATTCATCACTATCACCACACTACCACCATTATCATCACTTCATCACCACCACACTACCACCATTATCATTACTTCACCACCACACTACCACCATTATCATTACCACCACTTCACCTACACTAACACCATTATCATCACCACTATCACACCTACACTAACACCATCATCATTATCACCACCTACACTACCATTATCATCATCACTCACCACACTACCACCATTATCATCATCACTTTATCACCACACTACCTACCATTATCATTACTATCACCACCTACACAACACCATTATCATCATCACTATCTACACCACACTACCACCATTATCATTACCACTCACACTCACCACCATCATTACCACCACACTACCACCATTATCATTACTTCCTATTATTATTACTCACCACCATTAACAATACCACCACACACCAATACCAACATGATCATTACCAACCACACCACCACCATTAGCATTACCACCACACTACCACTCATTATCATACCACCACACACTACCACCATTATCATTACCACAATCATTACCTCTATTATATTACCACCACACTACCACCATTATCATCACCACCACACCACCACACCATTATCATTACCACCACCATTATCACCACACTGCAACAACCATACCACCTCACACTACCACCACATTACCACCACACTACCACCATTATCATTACCACCACACTACCACCATTATCATTACTATTACACTACCACCATTATCATTACCACCACCTACTACCACCATTAGCATTAATACCACTACACTACCACCATTAGCATTACCACCACACTACCAAACCCATTATCATTACCACCACACTACCACCATATTATCATACCACCACACTACCACCATTAGTAATACCACCACACTACCACCATCATCATTACTACCATACTACTACCATTATCATTACCACCACACTACCATCATCACCATTACCACCACACTACCACCATTACCATTACCACCCACACTACCACCACATTACCACCACACTACCACATCATTATCATTACCACCACACTACCACCATATTACTAACCACACTCACACCATTATTACTACAATCATTACCTCTATTATTATTACCACCACCATATCATTACTACCATCACTACCACCATTACCACCACACCCCACCACTCATTATCATTACCACCACACTACCACCATTATCATTACTACCACACTACTCACCATTAGCATTACCACCACACTACCACCATTATCATTACTTCACCACACTACCACCATTATCATTACCTTCACCACACTACCACCATCATCATTACCACCACACTACCACCATTATTACCACCACACTACCAACACCATACCACCACACTACCACCATTATCATTACCACCACACCACCACCATTATCATTACCACCACACCACCACCACATCATTACCACCACACTACCACCATTATCATTACCACCACACTACCACCATTATCACCACCACACTACCACCATTATCATATTACCACCACAATAACCACCATTATCATTACCACCACACTACCACC